ATTCTGAAATATGTGAGATATATATTTCCAGAAAATATATATTCCAATATATTTGTATGTATATTTTTGTTTATATATATATATATATATATATATATTTCTAAAATACATATTTCAGTTTTAAATATATTTCCAGAAAATATCTTAAAAACTTTAGTTTTCAGTTTTTAGAATAGATATTTCCTTCTAGGTTTCTATGTTCTTTTTGTACAGGAGCAAAACCAAAATCGACCCAATCTGACTCAAACCGACCAGGTCGGTTTCGGTTTCCATCTCAGGTAACCCGACCAGGTCGGGTTGGTTGGGAAAACCCCAATAAACTGACCCAACCCGACCCGTGAACAGCCCTAATAGCCGTCTTAATAAAGTATTAATTTTAAATATATTTTTATTTACAATATAAATAAATAAAGGAATTTTTGCAAGATAAATGACCACATTTTTTGAATTGACATATTAGGTTAAGTTTGTAAAAGACCAAACCAGTGATTGGGAACGTTGACTGACTAATGGCCTTATCGATCTTCCGTGTTCCTTCTTTGAAAATTTTTGGGTTTTTGAGTTGCCTTTGATTTTGGACTTCAAAGTTCTCCCTAAAACAGGTCTATTGAGCCCATCGTTTTTTTTTTTTTTTTTTTTTGTATTTGGTGATACACACCACTAACATGTTTTTTTTTTTATCTCTGACGGGGATTGGGGATGGGCATGGGGGTTAATTTTAGAATCGGGGTTGAGGATGAGGAATATAATCACTGTCTTGAACCCGTCCTGTTGCCATTCCTACTAATAACCCCCTAGGGGTGCAAATGGATCAAATCATGATCCAATTTGATCTAATATCCGATCCTATTTGGTTGAATTTGGATAACTCTTGTTCGGATTCGGATCCCCCCTATCCGATCCAAGAAGATCTAATCCAATATATATTATATATTTATAAATATAAATATATATAATACATATAGATATGTTATATATTTATTTATTTATAAATATATTTTTTATATTATATTTTTATAAATTTGTTATGTTATTTATTTATTTATAAAAACATGTATATTTATGATGAAAATAATTAAAAAATACTTGTATTTTTGTTTATGTTTTATTTAAATTAGTATATTTTATTTTTCTTTTAATAATTTATTAATTTTTAAAGAAAACAAGTTGGATTGGATTAGATCCGAAGATCTGATTTACTGATAGGATTCAAATTTAAATCAAGTCCTATCAGATCCGGCATGAATAGTGTTGGATCAAATATACCCTGATTCAAATCGGTTCCGATCTGTTTGCATTCCTCCCCCCCCCCAAACTCGGTGGTTGCAGGAATTGAATCTCCATCTATACTGGAGCAGACCAACCAGCTAACATGCCAATTGAGCCACCCCTCAATTTGAGCCCATCGTATTAAATAATCTTTATTATATTTTTAATTTTTGGTAAATAAATTTTAATAATTTCAGTATTTTTTTAAATTAAATTAATTACCTAATTTCCCAAAAATAATTATCCATAGTTAATTGTTTTAAAAATTTGCATTAAATGTAGTGATAATATATTCATAATTAATAATAGTTCTCAAAAAAATATTTTACTGAATTTTATTTGTCATTATTTATTGATGATTAATATCTAATAGTGTACTTGCATTAATAATAAATAGTTTATTGACAATTACTAAATTACTAATTAATAATTCGATTTGTAATTACTGTAAATTAATAGTGACTGGTAATTATTTATTTTTTACTAATAATTTTCTGTTAATTTTAAATAATTATTTACTATTAATTATTAATTAAGAGTATCAATAATTTTTTGATAATTATTAATGAATAATTCGGTTATTTAGTGGTTTATTCAGTAATTTCCAATAATTTAGTAATTACTGTAAATTAATAATTATTGATAATTATTTATTGTTATTTGACTGATAATTTATTTTTAAATTTCAATAATTACTTACTGTAAATATTGAAAATTAATGGTAAATTTTGTGATGATTTACTATTAATTTAACAAAAAATATAAATATTGTCAATAAATTAGTATATAACAATAAATTAGTAATTACTTTAAATTTATTGTGATAAGTTGTTAAGTATCACAAAAAACTGTAAATGGATTACTGAAATATCAATAGTTAACTATTAATTAATTAGTAACGTATAAGTGATTTTCGGCTTGTTTATGGTTAATTATTAAGGGCCATTTACTAAAACACCCCCTATGGTTTCATGAATTTACTAAAACCTATCCTATAATTTGTGTGTTTTAGTAAAACATCCCCTATTGTTTGCAATCTATTTACTTAATTGCCTTCCATTAGATGAAAGTGGAAAATAACAGTTTTAACACTAACATCCATTCAAACCCTAATAAAACACAGACAACCACTATTTTTTCCTATTTGGTTAATTTTGTTTTCTATACAAAAAAGTGTTAGAGGTACTTTTGGAATAAACAACCATGGGTCCTTACCCTTGAACTTTTTCCACTCAATTAAGGGGTACTTCTAGAAAAAACAACTATGGGTCCATGCCCTTAAACATTTTTCACTTAGTTTAAGTGATCATATTACTATTTTCATATGGCAAAATAAATAGTTCTTAAGAAAGGTCGATTAAGTAAATAGATTGCAAATTATAAATGGTGTTTTAGTAAAATACAAATTATAGGGTAGGTTTAAATAAATATGTTAAATAGAGAGTGTTCCCAATTATTAATCAATTAATTCGGTTCAATCGGGTTATAGATATGGGTTGGATCCGAAAGTAGGGAAAACAGTAGCCAATTTCTCTAATTTTAGTGCACTAATAGGCTGGCAATGAGCATTTGGAGCACCGTATGGTTGCCAATAAATTGGCAGGTGCACTACAATAATGCAAAATTGTGACAATAGGAAATGTACTTGTTTTCTTCAAATAAACAAGCTTTCCTTTCCAAAGGTAGCATTTAATTGTTTGCCACTGTGTGGTTTGAAAAAAAAAATGTAGCAGAAGGTAGAAAACCTGTATGTGTGTAACTAGATTGGAGGATGAAAATTATAAAAATTAAATAAAATAAAAACTTCCAAATTATCCAAAAATGTCTAGATTTCAAGTTAAGGAGAGAAAAGTTACTAGTTACCAAGGAATTTTCCATTGTGTTATGACTATGGCGTGCAGAGTGCAGTGGATTAAAAAAAAAAAAGAAGTAATAAAACTTTGGTCTTTTTCAAAAATTCTGACTCAAGTGAACTGGATGGTAGATTTCTGAAAGTATCGGCATGCCGCGTGCACTTGAGCCTGGAGCTCATGTTTATATGGGAGCTTTTTTTTTCTGTTTTGGTAAATTGTCTAAAACTCATCATGAGTTTTCAGCATTTTTCTTAAATTCACTATAACTTTTCAAAATGTCTAAAACTCACCATGTCATTAACTTGACGTTAATCAGACTAACAGACGTTAATAAATTACTATTTTAACCTTCATAGAAAAATATAAAATATATACAAAATAAATTAACGGGTGTTAATATATTACCATTTTAATATTTAGACATGAAAAAAGGAAAAAGTTCAAAAAAATATTTTCAAATATAAAATACATAAAAACATAGAAATTACAAAAAATATAAAAATTATAGAAATTACAAATAAAATAAAAAATTATTTTCAAATTATAGAAACTGTAGAAATTGAAAAACAA